TCCTTGCAGACTGTATTTGTTTCTATGCCAAAATGTATGTAGTTCTTTGGAAAAAGTCAGATCTTATTTTCCATGGATGCTATAGACCCACCATGATTTGTTTAATCATTGGATGAATTGTGTTCTAACGCTGGCACTTGGGGTCATTTCCAAATTGTTACTGTCATAAACAACAGTGCTTCCTAGCTGTGTGACCGTGGGAAAGATAGTTAACCTCTCTGTGCCTCTGGTTCCTCACCTGGAAATGAAGGCGATAATCATACCTACCTCATAGGGTTGTTGTGAGTTTCCAATGAGATCATGTACATGGGGTGCTTGACACAGGTATAATAATAATAGCTGTTGTTGTTGTTGTTGTTGTTGTTCTCATTGCTGTTGGATTTCCTGCCAGCATCTTTTAGTTTAGGGCGTGGGGCAGAGCTCTGGAGAGAAACAGAGTCAGAGTCAGACCTCAGACCGAAGCTCAGTTTTCTCAATTATAAAGCGTAAAGTAGCTCACAGGGTAGCCGTGGGCATCCAAGGAGGGAATGCTCGCAAAGCCCTCAGCACAGTGCTTGGCGTATGGGGAGAACTCAAAGTCTGTTGGTATTATTATTATTATTATTATTACTGTCACTGTTATTATTACGGTGACTCAGCCACGGGCGGGGGTGGAAGGAGGAAGGCGAGCACTTGGAACATCTCTAGCCCCTTATCTGATTCCAAAGAGAGGAAATGATTTGGGGACCAGAGTGACCTAGGATCTAATCTGAGCTTTGCCATTTATTAGCTCTGTGACTCGGTCACCACTTCCCTCAGCCTCTTTATTCATTTATAAAATGTGAATGGCATCAGCGCCCACCTTGCAGGCCCAGAGGGTATGATGCAAGTGCTTATCCTGAGTGTGCAGGTAATGTTGCTTCCTAATTAGGAGCATGGGAGTGTTTGTAGATGACCTGAACGTCTCCTCTCCCCCGTCCCTCAGACTCTGAGTCCCTATATCTGGGCCACTTGAACTTCACCTGAAGGCTTTGTCTTATCCAGGGCTCGGGGACCCATTCTGTCCCTAGTCTGCTGGCGAAAGGGATACTGATTCAGAAAGGTAGAGGGCTCTGCTAAGCCTTTCTGCAAGGTCTCTGACCTTCTGCCCCAGTTCTGGAAAGCAGGCTGGAGCCCCGCTTCTGTGAGCGAACCCTCACCTGCCATACTCAAGACCAGCATGCTGTCTTTTCTTGCCAGCTGTCAGAACACCCTAGAGCCTCGCTGTCAAATTCTAGCCCCATGGCAGGGACCCTGGTGGCCAGATTTCCCTCCGTGTATCTGACCCTAGCAAATCGGCTTTTTTATTATTACCGTTGCAGGCCTCTATTCATAGCGCCCACGGTCCATCCTCCCAAAGCCTGGTTTCCCTGCACCTGAAACACTTGCAGCTCTTCTGACCGGTCCCCTTAGCCTGCGGCCCCGGCTCCCCTTACCTCTCACCCCTGCCCGCTACATTGCCTGGCTCCCGGGACTCCCGCGTCTGCTCGGCCACAGGGGATATGTCTCATTTCGGTGTCACCTCTTTGTGTGTGAATCTCTTTTCTCTGGGGCAGCCAGAGGCGGGCATTAGTGGGCTGGTGCTACTATTGGGGGTGAGGCGGGGGGGGGGGGGGGGAGAGGGGTGGAGTTGCATAGGCCCAGTGCTAAAGCGGAGCTTCTGGAGGGCTGTCAAATGAAAGGCGGCCAGAGGCAAATGTCAGAGCCTATATAGAGGCAGGAATCTGGGACCAGAGAGACGGAGCAAGCACTAGCAAGTCAGGAGCGGTGGGGCGGGCTGGCTGGCGGGCGGGCAGGAGGGGGGCGTGGCAGGGGATAGCTAAGGGAGATTGCAGAGAACAGCTGCTGCTACTGAGTCTTACTTTAATGAAGTGGCCGGGCATGGGGCATAAGTAGATTGGCCAGACTAAAAGAGCTGGGGGCGCCAAGGACATACTCCCTCTCTTCTCCCTAACTGGCAAGGTAAGATCTTTCCGGGTTTTGCCTGGTGAAACTGTAGCACTGGGAAACTGTAGCACGTTCAGGGATTTTTTTTGTGTTTTTTTTTTTTTTTTTTTTTTTTTTTTTTTTTTTTTTTCCCTCGAAGGATGGAAAGTGGACATCTCCGAATGCTGTCTTGACTCATCTTTCCCGTTGCACTAGTTATCAGAGTTATCAGGGCGCCGGCGGGAGGCCAGTGTTTCTTCTGCTGTGCCCCATCTCGGAGTTGTCCAGGCTAGGGATGGGAGGGGGGGGTGTTGGTAACGTGACTGAGACAGAGAAAGGGGACAGAGAAGGTGGATCATTAGAGCACAGTGAGAGAGCATATTAGGGCACGGTAGGGGGCTCTGGCGTTGAACAGACCCCCGGCAATCTGTGTGATGGCACGCAAATTATTAAGCTTCTCTGGGCCTTGGTTTTCTCATTTGTAAGATGGAAATGGAGTCCCAGAATCTCTTAGTGTTGTGGTGGGGACCAAATGCGATGACGCACGTGAAGTGCCTAGACGAGTGTTGCCATTCAGCACATGCTGGGGAAACGTTCGCTGTTGGGGTTTTGGGGGTCGGTGTTCGTTGTCGTTGCTAGCATTTTTGTTGTTTGTATGGACGCACGATGCCACGAGATCGGTGACTTTTGTGACATTGTCCCAAATAAGCAAGTGTTCCGTTTTTGGCATGGGCGGGCTGTGGGGATGCGTCAACATTGTGTAATGTGCGCGTCGGTTTCCCAGCTGTGTGCCCAGAAGCCCCTCTGGGGCTGCTTCCTGGGGGAGGGTCGGAGAGGGTGATGCTCTGGGATTGCCCACCGGCGCGTCATCAGAGAAACTTGACATTTGTACGTGCTATATCGACTGGCATTCGAGTGGTGTCAGAACGACAACCGAATGCGGCGTTAGGGATGCCAAAGGTTAGGCGATTCTGGGGAGGGGGTTGGTAGTCACAAACATGCAGTTTTTACTGTCGCGGTGACCCTGTTTTAGCCCCAACCCGGGCCGACCCGAGAAAGCTGGTAAAATGGCAATCATAATGCTATCACACAGGGTGTGAGATTCAAACGGGAGAATGCTTGCAAATCTCTGTACAAGACCGACAGCTTCAAGTTGCGTACAGTTGCCTCACGGTGGTGCCTGGAGCGCACCGAGTCAGCAACAGGATTTTCAGTTCATGGAATGCTGCTCCCGGTCACGGCTGAGAGCGATGCCTTTCTTTTCCTGCGAAAGACCTTCAGGGCCATCAGAGTAGTCGAATAGGGACTAACCCCCCGGCGGGACTCAGTGGGCCCCGGGGAACTGATGACTATCCTGGGGCAAAGGGCTCTCTCATCCCTGTCCGCCGGTGCCCTGGCTGCCTTGTGAGTGCGCTGCTGGGAGACAACGGAGCCCAGGCGCCTGCACTTCTCACAAGTTTCCAGAAGGTGGTGCTGCCGCTTCGTCTGAGCCAGGGCTGCCCCCGCCCCCCCCCCCCCCCCCCCCCCCC